TATTCGCTGACAAAAATAAAATAACATTTCTTTGCATGATCCTAATATCGTTAGTATGACAATGTCACTATGTCGCGAAATAGATTGTATTTTTCAGGTGAAAACCGTGCGTCAGACTAAATGAATTCAATTTTTCATGTCCGAACCACTATTTCCACATAAAAAATTCCCTGCATGGTGATATTGTCATGTTAATAATATTGTTGTGATCGTATTTATAAAAACCGTGCATCAGATTTAAAAAAAATCATTTCGCATCGATTTTTGCTTCGAAGTGATTGAAAATTTTAATAAGAGAGAAATAAACAGCATACAATCACTGTCTATAAAAACAGGCAGGTAAAATTAGAAAAATGCCTCTTGACACGTTTACGTGTATGCCAAAAATATCATTAAGTGGTAATACGGATATTCATAATCAAAGATTTATTTTTTTGAGCTTGTTTACCACCCTGTGTTTCAAAAGTTAAAACTTTTAGGACATGCGATCATTTGAAGTTTTCATCTTAAAATGGACCTGAAACCACCCCCTAGATATGAACATGCAATTAGGAAACAAATTAAATTGCAGCTACCATACCTCAAGAGATAAATGTAGACTTTCGAGCAAAAAATTTTATATTTTTTTTACTGTGGCTATAATAACTAGCAAAATCTGCTGTTTATATGAGTGTTTCAAATATCAAACGTGTTCAGTTTTTGATATTCCTTAACAGTAAATGTTTTTCTTTTCTATGCCACAGTTATAATAGATTTTCTCTTTCATTTTAAGATTACAAGTCAATGAACAAATTGGAAAAGAAACTGTATTTAGCTGTCCTCACTTTTTCTTCGTATATCACATTCTACAATATTAATATATGGTGCAACACGTTTGATAATACAACATATTGTTCTTTGAGGCTCAGTGCATTGATCTCCTTGCTCTTGATGAGGCCACTGAAGTAATTTATACCCAGCAATTTAAATACAAATCAAATTCTGTACCTTAGAGGCAGGTTAGGTTAAGTCCATTTTGGCCAAAAATAAGTCTTACATGTTAAGTGTAGTTGTTTCAATTGTTTGGAGTTTGTTTAACAGGAAAGTAATTCCCTTGATGAGTCACAATTTTCATTTATTTCCCCATTCGTAATTAATTATGGAATTGTCATAAAGTTTTTCTGATTTTGCTTCATGCTGCAACTCTATTCTTCTGTTTAATCTCTGTAACACTTCATTTTTGGTAATCCTACATGACCATGGCATTTTGAGCACCCTGAAATAGCGATGGTCAATAATAGTAATTATGATCTTCACATACACACATTATACATACTTGTGCCTGACACTCTACACAATCTAGAGTCCCACAATGATTTGTGAAAAAGCATCTCTGACACCGACAATGCAATAATTGCACTTGCCATACAATGTTTCTTATCCATGGAGGAACCATCTCATAAAGTCTGTGAGAATGAATCACACGTGAAAATAATGCGATAAGTATATAATATGGATATGCAATGATTTGTTTTATAACTTACCAACCTTCATCAAGATAATAGCTTGGTTGTATCCATGTGCATTAATTTTCCTAACTCAACAATTTCTTGAAGATACCACAGGTTGTGGAATTTGTTCAATGTAGCGAGGTATTTTTGAGTGATCGAGATTATTTGCAAGAAAATTATAAATTATGGTTCTGCTTTCTGTTGAACCTCAAATCAACAACATAGCCTCAAGCCAGAACTGTCAGTATGTTGGAAATCAAAAGCAGGACATACATGTACGTTAACGAAGAAGACGTAATATTACCGAAATCAAGGAGGCCATAAAGGCTCCCTACAATTGTAGGGACGACTGACGATACGATCCTAAAGAACTACATAACATACGTCAAAGTGACGTTACGAGCGGACATCATTTTTGGTCGATTCCGAGCTTGAATATTTAATTAGTAGCGAAACTTAGCTGTTCTGTAAGTAGTTTTAGGTATATCAAGTCTGAGTAGGAGCCCCGCAACATATATGAGTGTCTCCCAAGGGGGCTTGCCCCCTGGAAAGAAAAGGAAGGAATCGAAGGATTCAATGGATGCAATTATTGAAGATAATTCCCAGGTCGGTAATGATAATACAATTGACTATGATCTACAATCAGGAGTAATGCAGGTAGAACTTCCAACATTATCTCCCAAAAAAGCAGATCGACCGCTTTTAACATATAAGCAGACTGATAAGGGCCCCTATCATGTTTATATCGAAAACAATGAACCAAATTTCTCAGGTAAATTAAATCCAGTTAAGGTTGGTGAAACTATTCTCAAAAATATTCCTGAAGTTGACAATATGATTAAAAGAATTGAATCGATTGGACGCAATAGGGTAAGGATTGTGTTCAAAAATCCATCAGCAGCAAATGTCCTGTTAAATAAAACGATTTTATTCAAAACTATCAATTTAGACGTTTATATACCCAAATTCATTTTATAAAGACAGGGTGTTATTTCGGTGGACAAAGACTTATCAGACGAATACTTGTTGGAGAGGATCAAACCTTTCGATTCTCACTGCATTTTCTCGGTGGATTCGGTTAAACGCATGCACCGGAAATCAGATCAAAATGGTGACATTAAATATCTACCTATAAATAAGGTTGTAGTTACTTTTCAAGCGCAAGAATTGCCTAAGCGTGTTGCTATAAATCACGTTCTTTTTGATGTAAATCATTATATACAGAAGGTAATTCTGTGTCATAACTGTATGCGTTATGGTCATTTGGGTAAGCAATGTAGAAGCAAGCCTAGGTGTGCAAAATGTCACGAAGAACATGTTACTAGCTCATGCCACAACGACTCTTTGGAACAAAAATGTTTAATTTGCGATGGCAGTCACTACTCATTTGAAACCTCAAAATGTAATGAATTTGAGAGGCAAAAGGCAATTAAAAAGCATATGGCAATGACTAATTCTTCTTTTAGAGACTCAAACAATGCGGTCCCAAAAACCACATATGCTTCAGTTACCAAAAATAATCCCATTACGCCTCAAGAAATCAATAGTTCTAATCTTCCATCTCAGTCATCAAACACTCAAACATCAATAAATATTCCAAATGCGAATTCGCACTTTACACAAAGGTTGTCTAAACGTTTGAAACGGAACTCGCCTTCCTCGTCAGATTTGACAGAAGAAGCTAGGAGACAAATTATAAGTCAAATAAACACTCCACAGGTACCCTGGGGTATCACTAATAACCCCAGTTACTGTGTACATGAATTTAATACGAGAGATGAGACGTTCATCCAACATGTTTCAGAATTGGTTATATTTGTTCTTACAAATTTTAGAGAAACAAACATCAACAGCTTGAATAAATCAACTATAACTAATCTCATAAGAGAAAGATTAAATAAAGACAAATAAGTTTAAGAATTAAGAAAATTACAGTATATTTTTAATCATTTTACACTTTTACCAACGTGTTCGTACGTTATGAAAAACATAAAATAGAATCTATACAATGCATTTAGAAACCACAATGCATTTTTTGAGGATATGTCAATGGAATTGTAGATCGGCTATAGCAAATAAAGGTAATTTGGAACACCTTTTAGAAGAACAAAATGTGGACATCGCACTTTTGTCTGAAACCTGGTTTAAAATGAATACATATGTAAAATTTAAAGGTTATAACGTTATCCGTCAAGACCGGACTGATGAGAAATAGTTTAAAATATTCTCAAATATCATTAGTTGCTTGTAATAAAATAATGAAAGTATGTTCTACAGTAAAGTTTCAAGGAATCTCAGATATTACATTCGTATCAGTATATATTAAACCACAAACCAAAATCACTAAATAGGAATGGATACAATTTTTTAGTTCCTTACCCAGTCCATGTATTATAGGAGGTGATTTTAATGCACATCACACTTCATGGGGTTGTGCTCAGGATGACGTATTTGGGAAAATCCTGATTGAAGCTCTAGATGACAGTAATCTCAGTTTTATTAACAATGGAGATCCAACTTATGTAAAATATCAATCAAAATCAGCAATAGATCTTACATTATGTTCACCTCAAATTCATCATCAGCTAGAATGGCGAACCTTGCCAGACCCATGTGGTTCAGATCATTTGCCTATACTTATCAATTGTAATTTTACTCCAGAAAAATTGTCATTTGCATCAAATAGAAAATGGAACATAAACAAAGCTTGCTGGAATCAGTTCTGTTTCGAGAGTATAAATAGATCTTATGTAGAACCTGTTATAGATTACACCACTTTCATCAAAAATGTTAACCAGTCAGCTGAAGCTTCTATTCCGAAATATGAAAACAAAAATAATGTCAAAGGAAAACCATGGTGGACCAATGAATGTAATATAGCAGTAGAAAAACGTAAGGATAGTTTTAGACTATATCAGACAAACCCAAACCTCGAAAACTTACTTAATTTTAAAATACTTGACGCGAATGCCAAACAAATATTCAAAAAGGTTAAAAGAGAAAGTTGGCGTCAATATTGTTCATCTTTAAATAGTAACACCCCTCTTAAACAAATTTGGAAGCAAGTTAACTTGTATAAAAATAGGCGACAGAGTAATTATCATGTTATAGAAGCTTCAGCAGAGTGGGTACAGGAATTTCATTGTAAGCTGGCCCCAAATTATGTAAGCAACAACATCCAAAGAAGAATCTCAACGTGGACTAACCATGAACTGATGCAACCTTTTACCTTGATAGAATTACAGAAACAGAACAATACATCTCCGGGAAAGGACCAAATTCATTATTCGATGTTATACCAACTACCTACAACAACGAAACAATCGTTATTGGATATTTTCAATCAAATATATTGTGGGAATGCTGAAATACCGAAAGATTGGTACGATTATATAATTATTCCAATTCTGAAACCTGGAAAACCAGAACATCATCAAGATTCATATCGTCCCATTGCACTAGCTTCATGCGTTTTGAAAACTTACGAAAGACTCATAAAGAACAGGTTGGAATTCTACTTGGAGAAAAACCAATTGCTCCCAAGCTCGCAATATGGATTTCGAAAAGGACGGTCTACTCAAGACTTACTGATAAAGATAACAACTGATATCCAAATTGGATTTTCGAATAACACGCATACTTCTGTAATATTTTTAGACGTTATGGGAGCTTATGATAATGTAGACTTGAATATACTATACAGTAAAATTATAAATATTGGTCTTCCAAAAGAACTTGCCAACCATTTGTTATTACTGTATAGCAATAGAAACATTTTCATCAGAGCCTCTGAGCAGACTATTGGACCACGATCAACATCTAAAGGACTAGCACAAGGGAGTATATTGAGTCCCATCTTGTATATAATATATTCCTATGACTTTGAAAGAGCTTTTAATTCAAGAGATGCTAAAATATATCAGTTTGCAGATGACTATGCCATTAGTATCCAGAACAAAAATTTATCTCAATCTATGGAACTTCTAGAAACAGCGACTTCCATTGCACACGAATGGTTTGAGAATAATGGATCTTCCATTGCCTACTCAAAATCTTGTGTATGTACGTTTACCAGATCTCGTCTTAGTCCTTCAAATATCATCACTCTGGCTGGGCAGAATATATCTTATAAAACTTCTGTCAAATATCTAGGAGTTATCCTAGATAAAAAACTTAACTGGAAAGAACATATTACATACATATTAAAGAGAAGTCAGAATGCTTTTAACATTCTGAAGTCCTTTTCACATCGGAAATGGGGAGCAGATCCAGCAGTGTGCTTAACCTTTTACAGGACCTTAGTTCGATCAATCTTGGACTACGGATCAATACTTTATGGAAATGCATCTAAAATTCATCTTCAAAAAATAGAACAGATCAAAAATAAGTGCCTTAGGCTATGTATCGGATATTTGAATAGCACTCCCATCAATGTCATGGAGGTCGAATGTATAGAACCTCCTCTTCAATTGAGACGACAAATGTTGAGCGATAAAGCCCTGGTTAAACTGGTCAGCAGTGTTAGTTAATCGACCCGGCGATTAGTTGATTGGCGGCAGCGACGCTATTGGAAATTGAAATAGACAATCAATTTGCGGATCAAGTGGATTCTATTGGTTTCCGATAGTCGGCGGTAGTATTTTTGCAAACCGTCATTTGCGGCTTATTGTGTGAAAAGCACACTGACTGGAAAAATGATCAATGTTTGTTTTTATTTCTCAGGCCAATTGGCGAGGAAGTATTATAATCGCAAACACATTCGAAAATAATACAGTGTAGTATCATAGCTTTGGTTTGCCCGACTACAGATGGCTGACTATGGATAGCTTTTTCGGGCTCTCTGACAACTCATCAGCGTTGTCTATTCTTGGTCTCAAGTAGGCCAACGAATTAAAGCTGAGCAACTATATTCTATCCGAATAAAACACGAAGTTTGTTTAATGTCGAGTCCTTATCTACTATAGCACCAGAAATCGGTGGCATCTAACGGCCACAGTGGTGACTCGGCTGTCAAATGCGAACTGAAGTACAGTTCCAATAGTCAGGTTACCGTTTTCACCATAGCAGTAACCGATTCTGATAATATATGGAACTGTGTGCTATCTTATTTGAAGATACTATGTTTTTTGCACGTTACATGACATGCACATTGCACATCTCGAGAAACCATTTCCGTCAGTCATTCTGTATGTCTGTCTACTAGTCACTGGTCGCACTAAAACTTAAAAAATACTGCTTGGATTTTGATAAAATTTTGAAACAAAATTTCTACTATGCCAAGGGACGTGACGAGCGAACATCATTTTTGGTCGATTCCGAGCTTGAATATTTAATTAGTAGCCGAAACTTAGCGTTGTGTAAGTAGTTTTAGGTATATCAAGTCTGAGCAGGAGCCCCGCAACATATATGAGTGTCTCCCAAGGGGGCTTGCCCCCTGGAAAGAAAAGGAAGGAATCGAAGGATTCAATGGATGCAATTATTGAAGATAATTCCCAGGTCGGTAATGATAATACTAAGATCTACAATCAGGAGTAATGCAGGTAGAACTTCCAACATTATCTCCCAAAAAAGCAGATCAACCGCTTTTAACATATGAGCAGACTGATAAGGGGCCCCTATCATGTTTATATCGAAAACAATGAACCAAATTTCTCAGGTAAATTAAATCCAGTTAAGGTTGGTGAAACTATTCTCAAGTTGACAATATGATTAAACGAATTGAATCGATTGGACGCAATAGGGTAAGGATTGCGTTCAAAATTCCATCAGCAGCAAATGTCCTGTTAAATAAAACGATTTTATTCAAAGCTATCAATTTAGACGTTTATATACCCAAATTCATTTTATATAGACAGGGTGTTATTTCGGTGGATAAAGACTTATCAGACGAATACTTGTTGGAGAGGATCAAACCTTTCGATTCTCACTGCATTTTCTCGCTGGATTCGGTTAAACGCATGCACCGGAAATCAGATCAAAATGGTGACATTAAATATCTACCTATAAATAAGGTTGTAGTGTTACTTTTCAAGCGCAAGAATTGCCTAAGCGTGTTGCTATAAATCACGTTCTTTTTGATGTAAATCATTATATACAGAAGGTAATTCTGTGTCATAACTGTATGCGTTATGGTCATTTGGGTAAGCAATGTAGAAGCAAGCCTAGGTGTGCAAAATGTCACGAAGAACATGTTACTAGCTCATGCCACAACGACTCTTTGGAACAAAAATGTTTAATTTGCGATGGCAGTCACTACTCATTTGAAACCTCAAAATGTAATGAATTTGAGAGGCAAAAGGTAATTAAAAAGCATATGGCAATGACTAATTCTTCTTTTAGAGACTCAAACAATGCGGTGCCCAAAAACCACATATGCTTCAGTTACAAAAATAATCCCATTACGCCTCAAGAAATCAATAGTTCTAATCTTCCATCTCAGTCATCAAACACTCAAACATCAATAAATATTCCAAATGCGAATTCGCACTTTACACAAAGGTTGTCTAAACGTTTGAAACGGAACTCGCCTTCCTCGTCAGATTTGACAGAAGAAGCTAGGAGACAAATTATAAGTCAAATAAACACTCCACAGGTACCCTGGGGTATCACTAATAACCCCAGTTACTGTGTACATGAATTTAATACGAGAGATGAGACGTTCATCCAACATGTTTCAGAATTGGTTATATTTGTTCTTACAAATTTTAGAGAAACAAACATCAACAGCTTGAATAAATCAACTATAACTAATCTCATAAGAGAAAGATTAAATAAAGACAAATAAGTTTAAGAATTAAGAAAATTACAGTATATTTTTAATCATTTTACACTTTTACCAACGTGTTCGTACGTTATGAAAAACATAAAATAGAATCTATACAATGCATTTAGAAACTACAATGCATTTTTTGAGGATATGTCAATGGAATTGTAGATCGGCTATAGCAAATAAAGGTAATTTGGAACACCTTTTAGAAGAACAAAATGTGGACATCGCACTTTTGTCTGAAACCTGGTTTAAAATGAATACATATGTAAAATTTAAAGGTTATAACGTTATCCGTCAAGACCGGACTGATGAGAAATAGTTTAAAATATTCTCAAATATCATTAGTTGCTTGTAATAAAATAATGAAAGTATGTTCTACAGTAAAGTTTCAAGGAATCTCAGATATTACATTCGTATCAGTATATATTAAACCACAAACCAAAATCACTAAATAGGAATGGATACAATTTTTTAGTTCCTTACCCAGTCCATGTATTATAGGAGGTGATTTTAATGCACATCACACTTCATGGGGTTGTGCTCAGGATGACGTATTTGGGAAAATCCTGATTGAAGCTCTAGATGACAGTAATCTCAGTTTTATTAACAATGGAGATCCAACTTATGTAAAATATCAATCAAAATCAGCAATAGATCTTACATTATGTTCACCTCAAATTCATCATCAGCTAGAATGGCGAACCTTGCCAGACCCATGTGGTTCAGATCATTTGCCTATACTTATCAATTGTAATTTTACTCCAGAAAAATTGTCATTTGCATCAAATAGAAAATGGAACATAAACAAAGCTTGCTGGAATCAGTTCTGTTTCGAGAGTATAAATAGATCTTATGTAGAACCTGTATAGATTACACACTTTCATCAAAAATGTTAACCAGTCAGCTGAAGCTTCTATTCCGAAATATGAAAACAAAAATAATGTCAAAGGAAAACCATGGTGGACCAATGAATGTAATATAGCAGTAGAAAAACGTAAGGATAGTTTTAGACTATATCAGACAAACCCAAACCTCGAAAACTTACTTAATTTTAAAATACTTGACGCGAATGCCAAACAAATATTCAAAAAGGTTAAAAGAGAAAGTTGGCGTCAATATTGTTCATCTTTAAATAGTAACACCCCTCTTAAACAAATTTGGAAGCAAGTTAACTTGTATAAAAATAGGCGACAGAGTAATTATCATGTTATAGAAGCTTCAGCAGAGTGGGTACAGGAATTTCATTGTAAGCTGGCCCCAAATTATGTAAGCAACAACATCCAAAGAAGAATCTCAACGTGGACTAACCATGAACTGATGCAACCTTTTACCTTGATAGAATTACAGAAACAGAACAATACATCTCCGGGAAAGGACCAAATTCATTATTCGATGTTATACCAACTACCTACAACAACGAAACAATCGTTATTGGATATTTTCAATCAAATATATTGTGGGAATGCTGAAATACCGAAAGATTGGTACGATTATATAATTATTCCAATTCTGAAACCTGGAAAACCAGAACATCATCAAGATTCATATCGTCCCATTGCACTAGCTTCATGCGTTTTGAAAACTTACGAAAGACTCATAAAGAACAGGTTGGAATTCTACTTGGAGAAAAACCAATTGCTCCCAAGCTCGCAATATGGATTTCGAAAAGGACGGTCTACTCAAGACTTACTGATAAAGATAACAACTGATATCCAAATTGGATTTTCGAATAACACGCATACTTCTGTAATATTTTTAGACGTTATGGGAGCTTATGATAATGTAGACTTGAATATACTATACAGTAAAATTATAAATATTGGTCTTCCAAAAGAACTTGCCAACCATTTGTTATTACTGTATAGCAATAGAAACATTTTCATCAGAGCCTCTGAGCAGACTATTGGACCACGATCAACATCTAAAGGACTAGCACAAGGGAGTATATTGAGTCCCATCTTGTATATAATATATTCCTATGACTTTGAAAGAGCTTTTAATTCAAGAGATGCTAAAATATATCAGTTTGCAGATGACTATGCCATTAGTATCCAGAACAAAAATTTATCTCAATCTATGGAACTTCTAGAAACAGCGACTTCCATTGCACACGAATGGTTTGAGAATAATGGATCTTCCATTGCCTACTCAAAATCTTGTGTATGTACGTTTACCAGATCTCGTCTTAGTCCTTCAAATATCATCACTCTGGATGGGCAGAATATATCTTATAAAACTTCTGTCAAATATCTAGGAGCTTATCCTAGATAAAAAACTTAACTGGAAAGAACATATTACATACATATTAAAGAGAAGTCAGAATGCTTTTAACATTCTGAAGTCCTTTCCACATCGGAAATGGGGAGCAGATCCAGCAGTGTGCTTAACCTTTTACAGGACCTTAGTTCGATCAATCTTGGACTACGGATCAATACTTTATGGAAATGCATCTAAAATTCATCTTCAAAAATAGAACAGATCAAAAATAAGTGCCTTAGGCTATGTATCGGATATTTGAATAGCACTCCCATCAATGTCATGGAGGTCGAATGTATAGAACCTCCTCTTCAATTGAGACGACAAATGTTGAGCGATAAAGCCCTGGTTAAACTGGTCAGCAGGGGATTCATTAACGAGATCCACCAATTGTTTATTCATGGATTAACAGCGAAATACTGGCAACACAAAAGGCTTCCTCTGATCATAGAGAGTTATGAGTGGCTTCTTCCTACCGTCAAGAAGGTACACTCTAATCAAATCAATCCATGTTTCATACCTGAATATTCGGCATATAACTCTCCACCCGAAGTAATCTCTACGAAATATTCCGAACTAGATTTATCAACACCTTATAAATTCCGGCATGATATTCGAACACGATGGAGTGGATGGGAATATATCTTCACGGATGGTTCGAAGAAAGACAATTTAGCGGGATGTTCATTTTATCACAGCAACAATTCGTATCACCAAGAATTCAAATTGCCACCTGAATGTTCGGTATACACAGCAGATCTGGTTGCGATCAACCAAGCTATTGAATACTGTTTCCAATTCCATGGAAATAAGAATTTTGTTATTTTTACCGACTGTAGAAGTGCTGTAACAAAATTGGAGAATTGTCACCCCACTGCAGATCTTAATCATCTAATTGCGAACATCATCAAGCGCATTCAGGAGCTGAATAGAATCGACAAAACTATAAACATAGTCTGGATCAAAGGCCACTCATGTATAAAAGAAAACGAGATGGTAGATAATTTTGCAAAAAGAGCTACAACTAGAGGCGATTACGTTCCGGGCATGGAGATTCCTTTTACTGACGCTCATTTTCTGATCAGACAACGACTAAAGAATAAATGGAATAACCATTACAAAATCAGTCCAACAGAAAGTTACCTGAAACGTATACAAGAGACTCTTCGAAGCAGACCTTGGTTTCAAGGAATTACCAATCGTCCTTACATTAGAACCGTGAGCAGAATAAGAAGTGGTCATGCCCTAACGCCCCATCATAAATCAAGAATTGGATACGGAGATGATCCACTTTGCAGTTGTGGAAATATAGGAACCTTGCAACACTTAATATTAGAATGTACAAGTTCTAACAACGAAAATTCTGAATTGTATAAAATTTTAGCGAATCACCTTCCTTTGCCTCTAAATTTAGAATCAATTCTCAGTTCTGAGAACCAGCAAGTTTACGAACTTTTATACAAGCATTGTC